CTAGGAAGGTACTTAGGACGGATGGGAGAGTCTTCATGCTATGAAGCAAATCTGACTCCAAGTAAGGAAGAGAGGGAGAGAAGGCTGGGTGGAAGTGTCCAAGACTGCCTGCCATCGAGTCTAAAGCCATCAAAGCCCTCGTGGAGTCACTCAGCCAATTCAGCCGACAAAGAGTCCTGTGTCTCCCAGGAAAGGGTCTGTCTTAGCATCCCCACTGTGTGCAGCTACTGGCAGGGAGCAGCCCGTGGGAGCTGTGGCCTCAGAGACAGGTTTTAAAGCACAGCAGCTGGGGCGCTCAGTCAGTTAAGCTACACCAGTCAGGAAGGTCTGCAGGGCAAATTCTCGTGGCCATCACAGGAGCCAAACCCAAAACAGATGTAAGACCACACAGAGGTATCGGCTATTGGCCAGTGTGGGGAATAGAGGAAAGGGCAACGGTAGAACCACTGTTTCTCCTTCCGGTTCTGGGAAAGCTCATGTCACTCCACCTTTTTTTTTTTTTTTGCCTTTAGTTTGAGCTATAAGTGGCAATAAGAAATTAAGTGGACCCAAGAGCCACAGATGCGATTTCCTCTGCGCCCTGGACTGATCTCATGAGAGAAGCCACCTTGTCAATAGCATCTTGGTTAAAACCATCGTGTTTCTGATAAGTATGGCCTCATTTCCCCGCTCAAGGCTGATTGGTAGGTGAGCACGCACAACGGTGACTGGACAGAGGGCTGGCTTCTGTTGTGGAAGGCAAGGAGGGCAGAAAGATGGCATAGAGGGAAAGCAAACACTACTACACTGAAAAAAATGGAAGTTAAATGTGTAAGCAGACTGGATTGTCAAGGAGAGTATCTGTATTCGAAGGCAGGCGAGATTAGTTCGATAAGAAATACTGAGAGAGTAAGAGTGTCCTCCTCAGAAAGCAAGAAAGAGTGAGTTCAGAGGGATTGGAGAAGGACAGAAACTGGTGCACATCAAATGGAATAATAAATCACCCCAAATAGAAGAGATCTGACATATAAAGAATATATTCAATACCTGGCCACTATTCAGTGATTGCTATGTTGCTGGGCATTCTGTAAACCATATCGGTGCTTCCCACAACCACGTGAGGTCGATTTTATTATTATGGTGTTACGGATTAGGAGTTTGAGAGTGGCTTAAATACCTGAGCACCTATATTTGCCTAAAGCAAAAAACAAAACAAACAAAAAAAAGAAGCGGCAACCGGGAACCTACTGCAGAGCGGGGACATGCAGCTGTAACTAATACTGTAGTGGCCCGTGATGCCTATTTGAGTCTTGGGGGCCAGATGATTTTTAGGATGTCAGCATTTGTCATTCTTTTAGGAAAGTGATATAAAACACAGCTTTCACATCACATGACCATCCAATGAGGACTGAGGTGGTATCCCATAATAAAATATGCTGAAGCCTATCTGTGTAGGCACCACTTCTCTTGCCCAAGGCACTTCCGGCTCGTGAAAAGGGGACCACTGCATCTGGAGTGTTTATGCAGATGCTGGATATACAAGTTCTGTTCCTTCTGGAAATCCAAGTCCTGTCGCTTCTCCTTCCAGTTCTATGGAAGCTACTGTTACTCTACCTGCTTCTGCTCCCCCTGCGGCTGGAGTTCTGGAAGCTGGAATTGAGAAGACAGCAGGGCCTCCTCAGGAATCTCATCTCCTTGGACTGCTCTGACGAGTCCATGCTGGGAAGGCGATACAGGGAGGGGGGACTGGGGTTCTCCACACTGCAGGACTCTCAGCTGGCAGGTGAGCCCTGTCACACCCCCAATGACATCGAGATCTCAGGCAACAGTGGAGGAAAGGCTCAGGATTGCTGTCTGGCCCACTCGGGCTATGTATCAACCCCCGGGGTGACCTGCACTTATCTGGGTTCAGTGAGATAAGAATGGTGTCCAAATTCCAGGAGCTGAGCTCAGTACCCAGGCATCAGGGGCTCATATGCCTGGCATGGCTGTGGGTGATTGGCAGGACTTCAGAGAACCGTTGAGGTGGTGTGGACACTCTTGTGACTACCAGCTGATAAAGGCAGCATCCACTGAAGACATGTACAAACCCTGCAAGAAAACATTTAAAAGACCAAGCCACACATCGACCAAAGAATCACAACACCAGATTGTGCCTAAGGGACCTAGTTCAGGAAGCTCTCCTTTCAGGGTTTTCTTCTGTCGTTCTTCATGAGGGGACATCTGTTCCAGCCTTGAATACCTCCAAGGATAGAGCGCTCTTTCCGTAGTGAGGCATGCGACTTCCGTCATGGGTCAGTCAGGCAGAAATCGCTCTCGTCATGAAGTCTGCCTAGGTCTTTGTGTCATTGTCACCCGTTGGTGTTCATTCTGCCCTCCAACCCCACAGAGTCTAATTCCGGTTCCACAGGACAACCGTTCCAATATTTAATACTATATTAATAGGTAGTCTTTTCTTCTCAGGTACTTTTTTTATAAAATACTCCTTCAAAACACTCTGAAAACTAGCAAAACTATGTTTTTCCGAAAAGAAGTTGGCATCCAGAAGTTCTCTTACAGCCAAGTCATGCCATGGCCGCTGGCACATGGGCCTAATTTTTGCACTTGTCTCAGCTCTCTGCGCAGCTCCTCGGACCCGCTGATTCGTGAATGTGGCTTAACTTGCTCAGGGTGAACCTGCTCTTGCTCCCAGTGGCCACCTTTTCTCTGTACTCACACACTAGCTAATTAACGTCAATCCAGCCTTAGTTTTCAAAAGATAAAAAAAAAAATGTACTCTTCTCTACACATTAAAATGCATTACTTCATTATTTTAAGAAACTAACAATTGCTATTTTCCAGGCTCAAGACAACTCTGTGGTATTCATGACTTTGAGAAGCAGGTTCGGTCACTCTCTTGAATGGAGTTTGCCTGGGTCTGGGAAATTGACTTCACTTAAAACATTCAGATTTTATCCTCCTATCTTTTCATACGTGATAGTTTTCATGTTCTCACCAGGAACGTAATGGGGGCTACGGAGTCCCACAGCCCTACCCTCGATGGCTAAAGGCCACAGGAGTGGCCTTTCTGGTCTACTCTCCTGAAATGGGGTAGATCACAGAGAAGACTCATTTTTTCCCCTTTAACTTTTTTTTCTATTTATTTATTTTTTTAAATATTTTTTATTGATTATGCTGTTACAGTTGTTCTATTCCCCGCTTCATTCCCCTCCACCCTACCCCCATCCCCACCATTACCCCCCCTTTAGTTTATGACCATGTGTCTCAAGTCCTTTAGATTCTATATTTCCCATGCTATTCTTGCCCCCCCATCTATTTTCTATCTACTGTCTATGCTACTTATTTTCTATACCTTCTCCCCCCCTTCTCCTCCTCCCACTCCTCTGTTGCTAACCCTCCTTGAGATCTTCATTTCTATGTTTCCACTCCTGATCTAGCTGTCCTTTTAGTTTGCTTTTGTTTTAGGTGTGGTTGTTAATAACTGTGAGTTTGTTGTCCTTTCACTGTTCCTGTTTCTTTAACTTCTTTTTCTTAGATAAGTCCCTTTAACATTTCATATAATAAGGGCTTGGTGATGATGAACTCCTTGAATTTGATCTTATCTGAGAAGCACCTTATCTGTCCTTCCATTCTAAATGAAAGTTTTGCTGGATAGAGCAATCTTGGTTGTAGGTCTTTGGATTTCATGACTTGGAATACCTCTTTCCAGCCCCTTCTTGCCTGTAAGGTCTCTTTTGAGAAATCTGCTGACAGTCTGATGGGGACTCCTTTGTAGGTGACTGTCCCCTTAGCTCTTGCTGCTTCTAGGATTCTCTCCTTCATTTTAATCTTGGCTAATGTAATGATGATGTGCCTTGGTGTGTTCCTTCTTGGGTCCAACTTCTTTGGGACTCTCTGAGCTTCCTGGATTTCCTGGAAGTCTATTTCCTTTGCCAGATTGGGGAAATTCTCCTTGATTATTTGTTCAAATAAGTTTTCCACTGGTGGCTGTGCCTTTCCCCCTTCTGGTACCCCTACAATTCGGATGTTGGAGCGTTTAAAGATGTCCTGGAGGTTCCTAAGACTCTCCTCATTTCTTTGAATTCTTGCTTCCTGACTCTTTTCTGTTTGGCCATTATTTGCTTTCTTCTGGTCCACTCCATTGATTTGAGTCCCAGTTTCCTTTTCATTGCTATTGGTGTCCTGCGCAATTCCATTCATTTCCATTAGTTTCGCCTTCATGTATTTGTCTAATATGTGGCTATAATCAACCAGTTCTGTGAGGATCCTGATGACCAGTGTTTTAAACTGTGCGTCTGAGAGTTTGCTATTTCTTCATCGCTTAGGTCTATGGGCTCTGGGGCTTTGAGAACTTGCGACATTTTTGGTCTGTTCTGGCCCTTTAAGTGTGAGAAGCGGTGCCTTGGAGTCCCAGGTCACTGGGTTGTGACGCTGTATGTGGGGGCGTGGTCAGAGCGGGGAAATGGCGGTGCCCTCTACTGCCGCTTGCCTCCAGGACTGCCGGGCCCTGGTTCAACCGCTCACTCCCTGGCCTGTCCGCTCGCGCACAAATGGGTGACCACAGTCAACACGTAGCACCGCTTCCCCGCTGTCTCCTTTGCGGTCGCTCGCCTGGTCAATCGCTCGGTCGCTCACTAGGTCCAAACCTGCGTCTGGATTCCGCGCCTGAGTCCGTCTGACCAAGTCTTCCTGTGCAACCCCTCACCAGCTGCTGGTTTTGCCCCTTACCGGTCAGGCTGAAGAATTTGTTGTTAACAGACTTCCGAAAAGTTCAATTTTCCGTGTTCTGGCTGTGTTTTCTGCTGCTAATATTTAGTTGTCCCTAAACTTGGTTGTGTGAGAAGGCACGCCACATCCACCTATGCCTCCATCTTGGCGGAAGTCCTCCCCTTTAACTTGTTCTATGAATTTTAGGCCATTCTGGGTCTTATTCTTTCCTGCAGAAATTTTACTCTTCATAGGCATTCAATAAATATATGTAAACACCAATTTTTTAATAACAATTTATTGATTTGGTCCATTCACTTAAATGTAATGTCTGATGCTTCCAAATCCACAGCCAAGAATGCTGTTGGAAGGGGCTGGACATGTTCCGAAGAACATCCCTCTAGGCCCTTCAGGCATCTCCATGTCACAGAGGTCCTGACCAGAGCTGGATGAAGGACCCTGAGTGCATGAGTGAGAGAGCCATCTGGATGGAGCTCACTGTGCAGCACCTAGGGAGGGAGAGACAGAGCCACGGTGAAAGCTGGAGGGACTTGGGGACTCTTCGCTGACTGCCCCGAATGGAAACTGACATTCCTTCCCTTCTGGATTCACACTCAGCTGGAAGTAGGAAAAGCAGGGACAGAGACACCCAGCTGGAAACCAGCTCACAGCCAGTGATTCTCTGGTTATCTGCGAAGATGGAGCAATGTGAATTCTCAGACCTAGAGCTTGGAGTCTACGGACATGTTGGTGGGATCTCATAAGAAGCAGCCTTGTTTAGATTGAGAATAACTATTACAGTTTGGGCTGCACGGGTCTGAGCAATTTTATACTCTCCATCCTCTTCTCTTTGCTTCTCCAAATGGTATTGCTGTGGAAGGGAGGGGTATGGAAGTGACCAGGCTTGGTTGTTGGCCTCTGTAAGCTTAGCTTCTGAGAAGGCCCTCCCTTCTCCTGCTGCAGAGCAAAAGCATGGACTCCATGTTCCACTCGTGGAAGCCAGAGGTGGATACTGTTGCAGTGAATAAAAACAACCCACGCAAGTCACACATTTGGGTAACAGATGCTTTTGAAGACCCACTTTCCTGCACCCACCAAAGTTTCACTCCCAGCCAAGCAGAAAACCCAGGGGCCTCATGCACTGGGACAACAGAGTGATGGGACTAAGGCACACCACAGTGGGCCACATACCCACATGCAAAGGCTGCGGCTGGGGAACAGAGCCTCCCCCACCCAATGGGGCATTGCTGTATTAGTGTAGGGGACCTGATCATCATTCTTCTGATAAGGAAGGGGGGACATGGAAGGACTGTTCTAAGTGATTAGAGCCTCAGGGTGAAGAATGCCGGAATACAGGCTATTCACATGGGGGATGTGGCAGGTGTATCTGGCATGTGGCTGTGGCCTGAAGGTGAGAAATGCTTCTCCTTCTGCCAGTGTGGACACCATGGAAGTCCTGGTTCTACCATCTGGCCACAAGCCCAGGAGCAGCAGCAGGTGGTATAAGGAGTTACAAGAATGGGTGTCATATCAGGCAGCCCTGAGAATAGGACCTGGCACAGAGTGAGGCAAGCCACTGAGTGTCTTCATTTATACAATGGTGACAATTGTGCCTACGTCCCACTCTGGGCTGATTTGAGGAACAGTGAAGTGATGCACACCAATGTGCCTTCCAACTGCAAACCTGTATGACCTTTTGAAACTCCCTACACGTGGACAGAGCTGGGGGGTTGGGCCTTCCTACCTTTACCTTCGTCCAGATTGCTGAGTGCATGTTCTAGTCTCTCCTGCAGGCGGTCATTGGTGCAGACAGAGTCCTCCAGGCGCTGGCGCAGGTTCTGGATTTCAACAAGGTTCTTTTCCAGCAGGTCGGCCCCTGTTGCAGACCACCAAGACATGGAGAGGAAGAAGATGGCCGATCACTCATGGGCAGTTGTGGGGCATGCCCAGGGGCTCTGTACAAGATCCCTACCCATCTCTATACTTGTGTCAACTTCCTCCACTCACCTGAGCACCCAGAAAGCACCAGGAAACTTTGTTTAAAGAACACCTGGGCTTCGATCACAAGATGGTCCTCTGTAAGGAAAGGGCCTCCTCCCAGGCAGAGACTGAGGACATCTCAGGGAGATGGACCCCAGGCTGGAGACCAGGGTGAGAAAGTGCTAAAGGCCTCAAGGTAAAACTGGCATCACAATGATAAAGTTTGTCTACCTTCTTTGGTAGCAGTCTGGACGCCTTCCTCTCTACCTTACATCTCTCCTCCCTGTTGATCCATTACCTTTAACACCCACCCACTCACAGAGAGGCTAAGATAAATGCATGTGAAATTGGATCGGGCTGTGAGTAATGAGTGATACTTAATGTTCTCCTCCTCCTAGAATAAGTTTCTGTTCTGCTTATTATTTTTTTTAGTTCAGTTATTGATAGATATGTATTTACTGCCATCTTGTTCATATTTTTTATCTTTTTTTCCTTCTTCTTCTTAGAGAAGACCCTTTAACATTTCATATAATACTGGTTTGGTGGTCATGATCCCCATTAGCTTTTTCTTGTCTGGGAAGCTCTTTATAAGTCCTTTGATTCTAAATGATAGCTTTGTCGGGCAGAGTAATCCTTGCTTTTCATGACTTTGAATATTTCTTGCCAATCCCTTCTGGACTGCTAAGTTTTTGTCGAGAAATCAGCTGACAGTCTTATGGGAGCTCCCTTGTAGGTAACTAACTGCTTTCCTCTTGTTGATTTTAAGATTCTTTTTCTTTAATATTTTGCATCTTAATTATGATGTGTCTTGGTGTGGGCCTCTTTGGGTTTATCTTGTTTGGGACTCTCTGTACTTCCTGAACATGTATGTCTATTTCCTTCACCAACAAATGGAAGTTTCCTGCCACTATTTTTTCAAGTAGGTTTTTAATTTCTTGCTCTCTTTCTTCTCCTTCTGGCACCCCCATGATGTGAATGTTGGTATGCTTGAAGTGTCCTGAGGCTCCTTACACTATCATCATTTTTTTGTATTCTTCTTTTTTTTTTTTTTTTGCTGTTCCACTTGGGTGGGTTTTTTTTTTTTTTTGCTTCCTTATATTCCAAATCACTGTTTTCTCAGCTTTGTTTACTCTACTATTGATTCCCTGTATAAATTCTTCATTTTAGTTAGTGTATCCTTTACTTCTGACTGGTTCTTTTTTATAGTTTCAATGTTCCTTTTAATGCTGTTGAAGTTCTAAGTTCATCAGCTCTTGCCCTAAATTCAATGAGCATCCTTATAACCAGTGTTTTGAACTCTACATCTAGTAGGTTGCCTGTCTCCATTTTTAGTTCTTTTTCTAGAGTTTTGTTCTGTTCTTTTCATTTGGAACATGTTTCTTTGTCTCTTCATTTTGGCAGCCTCCCTAAGTTTGTTTCTATGTATTGGGTAGAAATACTATGTCTTCCAGGCTTGGAAGATTAGCCTAACGTAGTAGGTGTACTGTAGGGTCCAGTGGCACAGTCTCCCCATTCACCCAAACTGGGCACTCCAGGTGTCCCCCCCAAATAGGGGCTGTGTACACCTTCCTATTGTATTTGAGCCTTAATTGCTTTTGGCACATCAAACAGAGGGATATACTCCCACAAGTTAATCAGCTGTAAAGGACTAGCTGCGACCACTGTGGAGGATCAGCTTTGCAAGGGCTCACCCCATGGAGCAGAACTTACTTCAGTGGGGTTCTGGTGACCCGCTGAGTCTGGTGCTTGAGTGTGTTGCTTGTGGAGTGATGCTTTGACATGGTCTGAAGTTGTCCATCGGGTGCATTGGCTCTGGAGCCTCCCCAGAGGTGCAGGCCAAGGTCAGCCAAAGCCTGTGTTCTGCCTGGGGCCACCAACATGAGCTACAAAGCAATATGCAGATGGCTGCCACTGGTGCTGGCCTTGGAGGAGCCCGGGCATGGCCAAGGCCAGCTGTGGCTAGTGCTGGGCCTGGGACAACTTAGCCAGAGGTGTGGGGCACACTGAGGCCAGATGCTGCTTGTTTGAGAGATTTTAGCAAAGTCTGGAACATGAGCCAAGATGGGACATTCTCAAGGAAAAGCCACTGGAAACACTTTGGGTGGGCCTCTCAGGGAATCACAGCCAAGGGGATGCAGACTCAGATACGGTGCCTGCCTGCCAGCTCTGTAAGGAAAGGGCTCAGGAAGGAAACAATGGCCACTGCTAACATTTTTGTTGGGGAGAAAGCTGCCCCTCCAGCTCTTGCTCTACTGCCCCTGGTGTCTTTCAAGCTGCTGTCCCAGCTCTGGAACTCAGAGTGAGTCTGAGTGTGTGTGCAAGTCCTTTAAGAAGAACTGTCTGGAACTCCAGAAGCTCTTCGTCTCTATCAGCCACAACCCCCACTGGTTTTTACAGCCAGAAGTTACGGGACTCTTCCCAGCCCTGAAACCCCAGGATGGGGGCCTGGTGAGGGGCTGGGATCCCCCTGCTCCCCCAGGGGGGACCTCTGCAGCCTAGATACCCCTCCCAGTTTTTATCCACCACACACCATGGGTGTGGGACCAGCTTGTTTCGCATCTCTGCTCCTCCTACCACTCGATGTGGTCTGTTCTTTATATTCTTAGCTATAGGACTTCTGTTCAGCTGGATTTCAAACTGTTCTGAATGATGGCTGTTCTGTAGTTTAGTTGTATATTTGATGTGGTTCTGGGAGGAGGAGAGTACCAAACTGTTACCTACCCTGCTATCTGTACCAGAAGCCTCTGTGAGAATTTTAAATGATTTATTGTCATACAATCTGGGCCCCAGAAACTGAACTGCTCCAAGCCATTTCTCTACATGGCTGCACCCTTTGGCCCTGGGTACCAGGATCACTGACTCCGAACCTAATGGCAAAGTTGGAGAGGCAGGACTGACTTATAATTGTACACAAAGAAAGTGTGTGTGTGTGTGTGTGTGTGTGTGTGTGTGTGTGTGTGTAAACAGTCTCCCATCCTATAATAGCTCTTGACCTAAGCAAGACCTTCCCATGGAAGTCTGACCTTGGAATTCTAGAACAGTCTCAATTCAGGTTGTAGTCAGTTTAAACAGTTTGCAGTCAGAGAGAAGGGAGCACATGAAGGTGGCACAACTCATCCTTTCTGCAGAGACCCTCAGGATGCCCCTGACTTCTGGCAGTCTGCTGCCCAGAGTGAGGCCCTAGGTAAGCGACTTGGGGGAGGCGCTTGGAAAGGCCCAGCACTGAGGTGGAATCTCATTGTCTGGCTAACCCTTGGGATGTTGCCCCTTCATTTCCTCACCCACTTCTGTGAGCCAAGATCTAACAGAGGGACGGAAAATCCTCTGGCCAGGAAATAAAGGTGTCATTCCTGTCAATGGGCTCTATTTCACCAACCGCTCCTTTGTGTTGTACCAGAGGAGGTGGAGCTGGGCCGGTAGAAAGAGGAGGAGGAGGAGGAGGACAGGTGCCCGGACGCATTCATTTTCTGAGGCCTCGTCTCGTCTCCCGGGCTGCTGCACCCACGGTGTCCAGTATGGAAGAAGGACTGGGCAGGTCTGGCTCCTGAGTGGGGGCTGGGCAATGAGGCTGGGTCAGCAGGGGTGGCCAGGCTGCCATCTGGCCAGAAAGAAACATAAGTGAGAAAAAATGGGAAAGTCAGAAATGAAGAAATTGTTTAAAGATACTTACACCGGGCTGCAACGTCCTCCAAGAATCCACGTACACCTAGAACCCCGGATGTGACTGCATTCAAAAATAGGGTTTTTGCAGATGTAATTAGTTATGAGGAGATGATAATGGGTTAAGAGAGACCCCAAATTCCATTATGAGAAGAGGACAGGAGACAAAGAGATAAAGAGACACACAGGGGAAAGAACCATGTGACCATGGAGGCAGAGATTGGAGTGGCACGACTACAAGCCAAGGAATGTCCCCGGCAACCACCAGGAGCTGGGAGGAGGCACCGAGGAGGGGAATGGCCCTGCTGACACCTTAATTTTGATGTCTTGCCTCCAGAACTGTGAGAGACTTTCGTTTTAAGACACCAGGATTTGATACTTTGTTATGGCAACCTTAGGAAACTAACAGAGTAATCCATGGAAGGAAGTCTATACAGCAGATGTCAGCCATCCCAAGCCTACTGTTAAATATCAATTAGAAACCTATTTCCCAAGGACTGCACATTTTGCCCCAATGTTACAGGCACTTTCTGGCCTATGACATCACTGAGTAGTGGTTAGGTGTAGTATCAAGGATCAAAGTCCACACACATAAAGTACAGGGGCCCCTCTTCTCGCTCCCTCTAACGCTCTCAGTGCCAGAATGATCCCAGGGAGGAACCTGGGAAATGACTCGTCCAACAGCAGGACCCATTGCCAATCTTAGGAACAAAAAGAGTAAGAGAATGAAGCATCTGCTGGTCCCTAAACAGGTGGTCTATTTACCCAACAGTCTGTGCCCTTGCCAGCAGCACACCAGCTTCGTGAGTTGTTCTAGACTGGAGGTGTTGGAGGAGGAAGAGGAAGGGAAAATGGCCTCCACTTCTGGCCAAGGTGCAGGAACCTAGACAGGGCGACTCACTCCTGGGGACCCCCACTCCTCCTGCCTGAGCTGCTCTGGACCCCTACGGAGGCTGCGGGCTGTCTAAGCAAGGCAGGTGGCAATTCGGACCCACCAGAATGGCTCATGAGATTGCAAAAATAATTCATAAACATAGTTCGGATGATCCAGCTCCTGTCCAAAGAATGACTGCAGTACTTCTGCTTGGGGGATTGCAGAACCACAGAATATATGCATCTTACAGCTCAGTGATGCCATGAAAACGTGGCCATGTCCTTTGCTGTCTCCCTTTGAGAAAAAAAAACCCAACAGGGTGGCAGGGCCATGATTCTGAGAAAAGTTTGACAGTCTGCCTCCGTTTAAGGATTATTTCAAGGGCTGTAAAGTAGACGTGTTTCTCTGGAGGCAGGAGTGAGGTCCTTGTTTCACCTCAACCACGTCAAGTTCCTCTAGGGAACTGCACACTTACATCAGTACCCAGTGGGTCACTCCTCCCCCAGCTTATGTAAGACCAGCTGCTAATTAATAATAAGCCATTGCCCTCTAAGAGGATATTGACATCAGATGGGAAAAAGGAGGGCTTCCCTCTCCCCCTCAGGGAAGACAGAGGCAGCAGGAAATAAGGCGGATGCTGTCGGGATACCTCCCCAGAGGCCACATCTGCAGTGTGCGGCAGGAATTGCAGGTGAGGGGAAGGTGTGCTTGCCCTTCTCCTGCTGTCTCTCAGGGAAGTGCTGAGGTTGAACCAAGTAACCCTGGGCAATGGAGTTCAAGGATGCACATACAACTCCCTTGGGCTTTGGAAGAGCTCATGTGCATACAAAGGGCAGTCCATCTGCTTATAAATTCTTGGGTGGAAGGGCAGTGTGTACAGGGTCTTGTCTCATTTGCAGAGGCCAGGCCCTTGGGCTGAGCTCGGGGACAGAAAGAGCAGACTGGCAAAATACTGGCTGCAGAAACCCAGCAAAAGAGTGTATGAGGCATCCCGTCCCTGCTTCGTCCCTTCCAGCCCAAGCGACAGCACAGTGGACCACCCAAGCCTCCGAGTCAGGCGGGCTGGCAGTGCACGGTATCCCCACTGGTGCCTCGGGTCAGTCCCCTGACTCCACTGAGCTTCACTGCCCTCAGCTGTGCTGGCAAGTCAGGACACTAACACCCGCTGGAGAGGATCACAATACTGATTAAATGAAGCAACATAGGTACAGTGGTCAACAATGTGAGCATAATAGGTGCCTGATAAATGCATATTTTCTGTCCTTCCTTGGCTGCTAGAATCCCGGGGGAAACACTGTACTGCTTTGCTCCTCAGGGTAAAATGAGAAACAGGAATAGCACCAGGTCAAAGTGCATGATGGCTCATCAATTGCCTAAAATACTTTAGAAAAAAAGAGAAAATTATATATTAAAAAAAAAGAAAATCAGCTATAGCCACGAACTAAGGATGGCTTCTTGGTGTTATTCACATCAGGATTTGACTCATACAGTTGCCTAAAAAATCTGAATGCCTTTCTTAGGAGGGAAGTTAAAGTGCTGATTTTAACCTTACTGTCCTCCTCCTGTCCCCAGCAAGGCTATCCAAGTGTCCTCTCGGATGGGGAGGGGACGTGCTGGTGATGGGTTCAGTCTAAACCTGAGACATGTCCCAGCTACTAATGGTTTAGGGGATATTATAGCCAAATTATTAGGATGGATGGAATCTATAAATTCAAAAATAATAAAGAATATTTAGTGATGAGTAGAAAATAGAAATTGTGGTTGTTTACCCCAGGGTTTCAAGATCAGAGACCCGATATTAGTGACGCTCACGTCAGTGGTCGGAGAGATGACACTGCCCGGAAGCAGGAAACACGCCCTGTGGGGAATGTGCCTGGTGGATATCAAGACAGCCTCCCCTTCTGGGTACTCGCTCGCTTGTCCAGCCCAAGAGGTGGCTTCTTTGTAGCCAGACCTTGCAGACCCTCTGTGAGGTGCTGTGTTGCCATCATGGGGGAGCCCTTGCTCCTCCCTTTCCCGACTCGTAACTCTGCCGCTGGAGTCCAACACCATGTGCTTGTCAGAGGGGGTCTGGATGGCTGATGACATGTGGTACTGGCAATGGGGTAAAGCTACCTGACATCCTTGGGTCCTGTGCTTGGCCTTGAGTCCCACCCAGGCCTGTGCTCAACTAAGTTCATTATAGTGGATCCGCAGGGTTTGGTCTGGATGAATGAGTGAGCGCCAGGAAAGTGGAGGCTGTCTTGGTACTTACTGGCGACATTCACCAGGGGGCGCACTTTCTGCTCCTCAGGCAGTGGGGAGGCGCAGCTGGGGTAGCAACGGGCGGTCCACTGTGAACAGCTGCTGGAGTGGATCTGGAACAGAGTCCAGGGCGGGGCATCCTCCCTGGTCTCTAGGACTTCCGTCCCTCCGCCCATCTTATTCATCTTCCTTAAGATACTAGTGGGGGAAGAAAAAGAAGAAAAAATGCTGGTCACCTGAATGCTACAGCTGTACTAATTTGGGGACTCACAAAAGAGACCCCAGATGTCAAGGAGACATTTTCTTTAGAGGAAGCCAAACAGTTCATTGCTGTTTGGGGGTAGATTGGGGGGGAGTGGGGGGCCCGGAGGAGAACAACCATAAACAGGTGCTTCGGCCACAAACATCCTGACCAAGAGAGAAGAACCGTGGGGCCCTTTAAATAGCACTCATGCCTTTTCACAGGACACCCAGAGGCCGTGAGAACTCAATGCAGTCTGCAAACACAATCCATTTCATAGCATTTGCGGTGGCCCATTTCAAACTGCTTCCTGAAGCAATGCAGACTCCCAGATGTTTGGTACTTTCTAGACTTCCTCCCCTAAGAATATTCATATAGTATTAATTTTTTTGCAAGAAAAATGTGTAGCTATTTAACATCTCCCAGCACCCCTTGGGTCATCCTTGAAATAACCCGACATAATCTCACTCTGGTCTTCAAAAGGCCAGGGGAAGCCAGAGGTGATCCAAGGGGTACCAGAGACCCCTAAGACTGGATGGTTAGGTTACAGCAGCCCCATATGACTAAATTGGTAAGCTAATATGAGAATGGGAACCAACAGAATAATAAAGTCAACAAAATAGGCAATGAGACTAAGGATACACAACGTTTCAATGGCCTCACCAGCCGTTTGCTTCTGTGCAGGGTATGAGAGCTCCTGCCCCTCTGCCTCCTGCCCTCCTGCCCTCCTGCCCTTTTGCCCTCCTGCCCCTCTGCCTTCCTCCCCTCCTGCCCTCCTGAGCCCTGCGGTGGATCCCTCACCAGGCCACATCTTTTACAGACCCTGAAAACACAGAGTTACCTGAGAGTCCGAAGCATCTGTCCCCTCTGATTCTTCTTATTTATATAGTCATCTGAAAACCAAATTCAAAAAAGGGTCAGTCATCACTTAAGCAGGTCTCAGTTCCTGGACTGCAAACAAAGGCAGGCTTCTTTCTGGGATCAGAGACGTGACTATATGGCACTCAAGTCCAGGATACTCTGAATTTTCTCGGGAGACCAGGGGTTGAGCCTTCAGAGAACTTGCCTGGCGCAGGCCTTCCTGAGCCCACAGCAAGGCCATAATCTACCTGCTCTGCCCTGAGTCAGAGTAAAAACCTACCAGTGTCTCCTTTCCCATAAATTATGGGGCACTGGACCAGCTGGGCTCTGAGCCGCTCCAGCCAGAGCCTCCGAGTCCTGCCACGGGGCTGGTTCCCAGTCTCGCATCTGTGTGTCCTGTCACAGCTTTCATGGAGAAACTGCTCTTGTCTGTTCAGAGGTGACAGATGTCCCTGTCCCAACTCTCTGACTGCACCAGCAGGAGCACACACAGCAGCCTCAAGCCTGCTCTTGCCATGTGCCCTCAGGTGTTCTAGAAAATGTCCTAAGTAAAAGGCTCCGGAACATTATTTAACTGATGTCCCCAACACCAGGTACCAGCACATACAGTGTAAACCGTGTCCAAATCGGCATGATCCTTTCATGATTTTTTTTTGTAGTGCACTTAATAATATTGCACATTTGATTCTCAGAACAATCATGCAGCCTTCGGGGGCTGGTATTATTTGACTTAATTTTTTGGTTGACAAAACAGGAATAAAAAGAAATATAACCCTCTCCAGAGCTGGTAATAAACAGATATGAGTCAATCCTGAACTAGGAATCTGAAGACCCTTCTTTTCACAGCAACCAGCGGCCCTCCTTCTAGTTCTCTTTATGCCAATACGTTTCAGATAAACGCTGTCATCCCCGGTGATGCCTCCCGCCCCAGCGGACACATTCCAGGAGAGAGGCAGGAGCTGGCGATCATCACAGCATCCCCAACCCTGGGGGCTTCTCCGTTGCTCCCCACCAGCCAGTGCTGACTCTGCCAGGGCCCCAAGATGGTGATTACAAAGCAGGGCCCCAGACTGAAAAGTCACTTGTGGGTGGCTGTGGGCCCATGGGAGCCTAGGTCCTTGGGAGGGACTGAAGGTCTCCCCGGGCCCTGGGGCCAGCTCGCCTGTGCTGAATCTGCTGGCGAGGCTCTCCGCCAGCTCTTGCCCATTGGCCAGCTGCTCACGGAAGTGCTGCTCCACGGAACGGTCAAGTTTACTGCTGCTGAGAAGCTCCTCAAAGTTCTTCACTGTGTTCTTGACATGCTGGATGAGGAGGGAAGAGACGGCCCCGCCAAGCCTCACCTTCTGCCGCAGGCGGGTCAACTCTCGAGCCTGATGTTGGATCAGGGAGTATTTCCTACAGTGGGAAAGAAACAGTAACGCCGGAGGGGTGACTGACAGGTGGCGACACTCAGCAGAAAGTACTCTGAGAATGTCACCCACAAACTGCATGCCGAATTCTAGCACGCGCTAGTGACGTGAATGTGGTAAAGGGAATGAAGGAAGGAGAACAAACCCTTCCTCCGTGTGAGACGCCCCTTCTGAAACTGTCTCCCCCCTGCCCCATACTTCTGAAAAGGGAACCAGGCTTTCTTCTCCAATTCTGCTTTAAAATCTGCTTCCGGTCCCTCTCTTCAGCTTATCATCCATCTCAACACAGTGAACAAAGCCAGGTGTTAATTGGGAAAGTGTAAGGAAAATCATGGGAGAGAATCAAGATTCTGTTGGATTCCCTCATTTTTCCGCAGGACTTATTTTAATAACAATTATTGTGATATTACTACTTTACAAGCTAACATGAAATGTTCAACCTCATGTTCCTTTTCCTATTAGGGGTTTTCTTTGCCCACTAAGGTCCCCCACCCAATGCATACCTTTCTTCACTAATCCAAATGATTGCCAGGTACGTAGCTATTTAAATGCTTGGGAAGACTCAGTGAATACTAGAACCAGCTCCTATACATGCCTGTAGGACAGGAAAGCGACTTTACAAAAATGTTGGCGTCCATCCCTTAGTCATTTAACCAACACTTTTGGCCAATTAACCTGCCGCTGGGAGGAAGCTCTGGAAGCCAAAACCACTGTAAACCTTATTGTTGGCAGTCTGTCCCTATGCATAGAAAACCTTGAGGTACTGGACTTGATTTAGGGAGTGTTCTGGACTCACCTACATTTAATAAATAAGCATTAAGTAAGCAGAGAAAAGATACTCAACATCATATGTCATTATGGAATTGCAGATTGAAACAACCATGAGATACCAGTATACACCTGTTAGAATGGTAAAAATCCAAAACACTGACAACACCCAATACTGGTGAGAATGTGGAGTGAGATATACTCTTATTTATTGCTGGTGGAAAGGCAAAAGGCTACAGCCACTCTGAGAGATGGTTTTGCAGTTTCTCACAAAACTAAACATATTCTTACTATGTTATCCAGCAATCATACTCCTCACTGTTTATCCAAATGAGCTGAAAACTTATGTCCACATAAAACCTGCACACAGTGTCTATAGCCGCTTTATTCATCATTACCAAGCCGTGGAAGAAACCAAGATGTCCCTCAGGTGGTCAATGGATGAAAAAAGTGGGGTATGTTTTCAGAAAAATGGAATATAACTCAACACTAAAAAGAAATGAGCAAGCAAGCTACGAAAAGACATGAGGGAAACTTAGATGCGGATGACTAAGTGAGAGAAGCCAATCTGCAAAAGCTACGTATACACCTGTATGACATTCTGGACAAGACAAAACTATGGAGGCAGTGAAAAGATCAGTGGTCGCCAGGGATTAGGAGGGAGGGAAGGAGGGGCAGGTAGGGGTAGGTGAGCATAGTGTATTTTTAGGGCAGTGAATGGTCACTTTATGTAATACGATCATGGTGGATACATGTCTTTATCCTTTTGTCAAGACCTGTAAAATATGTACTCCACCGAGAATGAGCCCTAACGTAAACTATGCCACACACATACAGGTGTTGGTAGTGGGGGAGGAGGCTACGCATGTGTGGAGGAGGGGAGGAGGCAGGAACTCTTCGTATTTTCCACTCAATTTTGCTCTGAACTTAAAACTCCTCCAAGATAAAGTCAACTTTTAACAAAAATAATCACAAGAATATCAATTTTAAAAATATATTTGACAAAGTGGGTGTAGGCTTTATGAATGGAGAGCCCAGGATTCTGTTATTTCTGCCCCTTTCGATTAAGCGACTGTATCCGTGGGCCTGAGTGCTCTCAGTTCCGAAATGAGGACATATGACTGACTCTAAGGTTATTTCAGCTCTAACATTATTCTCTGGGCCAGTGAAATTTAAGTGGTGCATGTTGGCAGTGACCCAGTGGAGCATGAAGCGGAATTTTAATTGCCTCCGAAGGTGTGCCCCAACCACTAAGCAAGTTAGTGATGATTTAGGATTTCTGTAACTGGTGCCCACAGGTAACTATGTAGTGAATTAATCCTATATTATTTGAACGCCTTTGAAAAGTAATAGGAGAGCAGCCATTAAGGATAGACTAATGACAAATCCAGCCAACAGGCCATTATTTGGCAATTTTGTAAGGTTATTTTTTTAAATTGAGCTCATCAAAAACACCACTTCAGAAACCAGGGAAAGGAGCTTCTGCAGAGAATAGAGTGCAGATGAAGGAGCCTCTGTAGAAATCCTCCTTCTCCGGCTGGGACGGGGCAGCGTTCGCCAGAGAGACATCTGCGCCGATAGGAGGTTCTTGAGCGCTGCTGTCGATGCACGGAAGTGACACTAACAAGACTGGGAGATTTCCCCAAAATCTCAAGCACCCGCGAAGCTCATATATTTGGTGACTACACGAGTTGTTAGTTAAAACCAAATTACTCTGAGTAATAGAATGTACTGTAAATAGAATGTACTGTAATAAAAATACTGTAGCCTTTTCCCTAAGGAATTAGCAGGAAGGTCTTAAGAGCCTGAATGCAGACCCTGACAGCAGCTGCGATGGCAGCGACTTAATTCTGACAGTGGAAGCCTCCGAAGAGAAGGTCTCTTACCTGCTGTGGGACTCAGAGGAGGGTCCTGCTTCCTCGGGTGGAGCCTCCTGCTCATCCACTCCTCTCTCAGCAGGTCCCTTCCTCTCTAAGGGCTGATGCATCCCAGCCTTCAGTTGTAGTATTTTCTCAGGAAAAACTCCCTTACTGCCTCCTTTGAAAAAAAAAAAAAAGGATGGGAAAGAAATGTGTCTGGGTCTCCACAATGGCCAGGCTTTTCTCCAAAGCTACCGAGAGGTATCAAAACAAAATTGTGGTTTAATGAAATTGGGTTTTTAAAGAGAATCCCATAGGAGCATCAGATCACAAGAGCGGAATTACAGGGAAGTAAAGAGCGAAGCCTCCAATGTGCCCATGTGAAGGGCTCCCCCTCAGCCATCCCGACCCTGGTGACCTACTGGAATGGAGAAAAGACACAACAAATAGTGGGAGACACTGCCAAGAGGAGGATGAAGAGGGCCTAGAGGCGTTTTAGAAGAAAAAGCAATCAAACAGTGACATCAACAAATCAAAACAAATGGGTTTTAAGCTGGGTTCAGGGATGAATATTTTTGCTACTTACCGTTAGACAAAGTTCCCTGGGAGTGTCCCTTCAGATATAAGAAAACCTTTTTTATCAGCCACAAGTTTTGAGAGTCGTGCAGTAGAAATAAAGTTTGAGATGGCGAACACCTAGTCCACAATGGTGCCAGGGGAATGAGTCAGGAATGAGAATGTGCAGGCATCTACAGAACCGTAGGAAGCTCTGCCCCCTGGCGGCCGGCCCCGCTCAGCACAGGCCTGCCTGTTCCTGGACAGGAACAGTCCTGTGCTGCCTAGAGACACCAAGGAGACCACCCCGCTCACCAGCCACTTTCAGTGTCCGTGTACCCTTCAGCTGATACTACCAACCGACACACTTCTAAAGAAAAAACCTAAACGAATGAGGCTTGCTTTTGCTAGAAAACATCAAAACAATATTTTCTCAACACCTTTTATTTTCTTAAAGATAGTTTCAACAAAAATAATTCTTGTGGCTTTTCCTCAAAGAAGATTTAAAAGCCTTATTACTTATTATTACTGTTTCTCTTTGGGAACTTTCCAAATTATACCCTGATAGCCTTTCAAAAGCATAGTGACCAAAAACTGAGTACAATGCTCTAATGTTGACTAATAAATTTAGCATAATGACATCTTACTTTCCATCCCATATTACTACCTATATTCCCCTGCAATGTTGGATTTCTTTTCCTCACAGTAGGGAGACGTACAGGGGTTTCATTTAATATGAAGTCAATGTCAACCTTCTAAACCCCCACCCTCCCCAAACTTTGCTATTTATAGATGATTGTTTTTACATTGCTTTAAAAAAAACCCTCTATTCACATCATACTCTGCTAATGCCTGTTTTGAATTTTATTCTGGCTCTGTTAAGTTACTTTCCACTTTATCAAAGTCCTTAAAATATTTTGTGGCCTTGAATGAATACTGAGTACAGAACGTAGTGCTAATTTGTACACCTAATAGATTTGTTTATTCTTTTATTCAGATCTTGAGAGAGTTACCTGGGCTGCCAAAAAGTCAGAAAAAAGGCCCATGACAGAACCCAGTAAAATCTAGGCCATGAAGCCCTGGGCAATGCGGCTCAGTTGGTTGGGCGCCGTCCTGTAAAGTGAAAGGTGGGGGTTTGGCACATGCCTGGGTTGCAGGTTTGGTCCCTGGTAGGGGCACAAAGGAGGCAATAGGCAATTGATGTCTCTCTCTCTCTCTCTCACATCCATGTTTCACACCTTATTTTTCTCCCCCCTTACCCTCTCTCTAAAAATCAATAGTTCTTTTTAAAAATCTCACCTATGGAATGGAGGGGATCAGTGAAAAGTGCCCGCAGTTGTTCAGTGGCACAACAGCCGAGGCGGTGAAGAGAGCCACAGGCAAAGGGGAGTGGGAGGGGCCGCCTGGAACTGCTGACATCACACACACACAAATAACTGTGGAGCTTTTGGTTTCCTCCCGATACGCTCCACACTTCCCATGTTAGGGCTTTACTCATGTTAGCTCCATTTGTCATGCACGTTATTTCAAAATACATTTAAATCGCACAGACATTATTAGTATTATTATTGTTATTGTTATTTTGAACAGTAATTCTTTTATGCACTAGAATTTTTAACCCATCTTGGGTTCTTTCCTTCGTTCCCATGCTGCCCTTCAGTTCACTGAACTTCTGCCCTGCAGTTCAGCTACCCTCTGCCTGTTGTTCAGTGCAGTTTGCTGCCTACCTGGAAAGGCCTTTACTCACCTTTACTTTGAAAGATAGTTTGTCAGGGATTAAACTGTAAATTGAAAATTGTAGTATTTTAGCCCCTTAATACTTAAAGTCATGTGAGTTTTTTTCCTCTGGATGCTTCTGTGACTGTTTGCCTTTGATGTTCGGTTTCACGGTCGTGTACCGGATGCAGTTCTCTTGTCTTCATCCTATTTGGAGCGGGTAGACTTTCTTGGACATTTGGCTAGAATGCTCCTCAGTTATCTCTTTCATTGGCCATTACATGTTACAGAACTGCTTTCAAACCAATTTTCATACCGGATGACACGAAACTTCAGATGCATTTGGTGGCCTTTTACAACTCGCCCTGGGCTCTTGGTTACTCTCCTCTCTGAGGTCCCTTCCTTTTCGCCCTCTGTCACCTAGATATTTCATAGCAATTTACTTTTTTGAAATGGATATTTTTAACTGTATTTTTCCATGATCATTGAATCCCCCTTGTACTTCTTTATTTTTAATTACCAATTCTTCTTCAGCTGTTCACACTGCTATCAAAACCCTGTACTTCAGTTTTAGAACTTTTATTCAGTTTTTAAATCCCTGCTGTCTGGTGTTCAGTTTTCACCCTCTTGTCTGCGTCCTTGAACACCTACCACATCCCCCAGTGCTCCCTGCTGATACTGCAATAGCTCAGTGTGGTGTGAACCAGTTTCAATGGTTTGCTGTTTCCCCTTTTTGCTCTTATTTCTTTGCATGCCTGGAAATGTGATTGAGTGATGGACCTGATGTGTGGAAGACTATGGAGGCTTTGGATAATGTTCTCTGCTGGGTGCGATCACAGAGGGCGGATCCCCTCAGTCCATTCCATGACTGAGCGTAATTGAACCCATGGGAAGTCTCAGTCTGCACCTGGTTTTGCCCATATTCCTGGGCTGTAGATCTTCAGGGCCCCCATCTGAGAAGCACTTTCTCTTTGGAGGGTCTTGAACTTCAATTTAAGTCTAGCTCTTTTGCACCACAGTACCAATGAAAACTGCTCTTTCAGCTGTACCCTGCTTGCCTTCTTAGCTTCTTGCCAGCATTTAGCTGGATTTGTAAATGCCTTGAGGGAAAAACATTTACCAAGTGTTCAGTTACTTCCTAACCTAACCCACTCAGGGACCTGGACATTCCCTCCCCACCCCAAACCTCCTACCTCTTCACTCCCACCCTCTGAGATTAAAGTGCTTTTTTTCCTGACTCCCAGCAGCTGTTCTCTCCCCAGCTTCTCAGTCTCTTGCCCTTTGCCAAGAACAGGCAAGTGCCCTGAGGGGGAAAGGCAGTAAATCCTTTCATTCTAATGAGCTTCTCTCTGAAGCTGGTACTGTGAGTCCTGGCTGAACTCCAAACAGAATTCTTTTAAACCAGACTTTATTTACTTGTTTTCAGGGTGAATGCTGGATTGCTACAGATAATCAATAACCTAGAGAGCATCTACAAATTCCAGGTAAATTCAATTTTTCTTCTTTGATTTCTTAAGAACAACAAAAAAGAAGGTGTCATTAGTACATACTTGGATTTTTCTTATAATAGTTGGGTAAGTCTGACTGGATATTAAAAGCACTTCTTAGAATTACGTGCAACAGTTTGTTTACCATGAGCTAAACCATTGCAATGCCTTTCCAAGGTCCAAGAATTTAATGGAGTTGGATCTAGTCCCCTGTGGCAGTATCTCCTCTGTCAGTCAAGTCATCATCAAAATCATCAGATAACCAGTTGTTCAGATGCTGGTCAATAATACTGGGGAGTAGAGGCCAACCGAACCATTTAACACTCTAATTTATTCTGGCGGATGTGGAATGTCAGCAGTGGTGCAGTTAGAAGTAGAAATAGAAGACACAATAAGAACAGCTTTCTTACAGCTTGTCTCCTCGGTGCTTTACTGTGGGATAACTTACTTAGTCCACTGAACACCCCTGAGCGGGCGTGGACCATCAGCGCCCCTTGTAGCAGGGGAGAGCACTGAGGCCCTCAAAGGCTGAGCTCACCTTTGCACTGGTTGGTTGGTCTCTGAGATGCTGAGAGCCAGCTCTCAGACCCAGGCAGTTCACCTCCAGAGCCCTTGCTCTGAACACTCATGCTCAGTGATAAGGGAGAAGACTTCACTAATATTTGCCTCCCCCCTTCTTGATCAAGCTCCAAGATTTTGAAGACAAAAATAAGATTAAAAGTAAGGCCTACAGAAACACTTGGGATTTTTTTTGGCAACTTCTAAAATATTTCATTGATTTTTATTTTAGAGAGAGAGGAAGGAAGAGAGGGAGAAAGAAACATTGATTTGTTGTTTCACCTATTCTTGCCTTCACTGGTTGATTTTTGTATGTACCCTGACCGGGGATCGAACCCACAACTTTGGTGTACCAGGGAGATGCTCTCATCAACTGAGCTACCTGGCTAGGACGAGTTGTTGCAAGTTGAGCACGAAAAAGAATTGTCATTTTTGTGTGGGTCTCAGTAAATTAGGGCCGGCTGGCGAAATCCAGCCCGCAGCCTGTTTTTGTAAATAAAGTTTTATTGGCACACAGCCATGCTTACTGGTTTATGTAATATCTGTGATGGCTGCTTCCGTGTTGAGTTGGTGGAGCCGAGCAGCTGCAACAGAGACGAGATGGCCAACAGAGCCTAAAATATTTACTGTGCGGCTCTGCAGAAGATGTTGGCGGACCTCTTTGTAGAAAAAGTGGATTGAAAACCTGAACTAAGGAATGTTGGAGTCCATAAATGATATCAAAAAAGATGAAGTCACTTGCATGGTGAATTACTTAGGTTCAGTGATCATGTCTGTCACGTACCTTTAAACGGTTCACAAAAACATAAGTAGATCTAAACCATTCCAATTTCTAGCCCCATAGATTAGTGTTGACTATTTT